TGTCAGTCTGTTATTCCTATCTTTGCACATGTGGAGAAAGGTTTGGAATAATATGTTATATATGTTATAAATGTTACAATGATTGTGTTATAGATTTAAAACTTCAGTTATTAAGCAGGGGGACATAACCATAATTGTCTTTATTTCTCTATAACTGAACTCATTTTGGCTTGTAAGTTCCTCATACTTAATATTTCCATTTGAAAACAACCCAGTCCCTCCTTGTTTAACATGCAGCCAATTCATCTTGGGTGACTAACCACTGAGCCCTCCTTTTGTTTCCCCTGAGATTGATTGACAGGTTACACTGTCTTGAGGAGAAATGTTGGCAACTGTGCTCTCCTGGCCCTTCAGGTCCCCTCCCCCAAATGTCACTTCTCTTGCCTATCTTTACTATCTCGTGTTGGCTACACAAGTATGACTTCTAATCCTCTCCAGGTCCTTGAAACTTTCACTGCTTCATCACCAACTGTGGGCTCTTGTGAGCCCACCCATCTTGTTAGAAATTAGAAAAAAAGCATAAAGCCAATCCTGATGGCCTCTGGGCTGTGGAGTGTGCTTGCTCTTCTGTATCAAGTCAAAGATGATGGCATCTGCTCCATCACTTCATGGCAAATAGGTGGGGAAACAATGGAAACAGTGACAGACTTTATTTTCTTGGGCTCCAAAATCAATGCAGATGATGACTGCAGCCATGAAATTGAAAGACACTTGCTCCTTGGAAGAAAAGCTCTGACCAAACCTAGACAGCATATTAAAAAGCAGAGACATTACTTTGCCGATAAAGGTCCATCTAGTCAGCTATGGTTTTTCCAGTATTCATGTATGGATGTGAGTGTTGGACCTTAAAGAAAACTGAGCACTGAAGAATTGATGCTTTTGAATGGTGGTGTTGGATAAGACTCTTTAGAGTCCCTTGGACTGCAGGGAGATCAAGTCAGTCAATCCTTAAGGAAATCAGTCCTGAATATTCATTGAAAGAACTGATGCTGAAGCTGAAACTCCAATATTCTGGCCACCTGATGTGAAGAGCCAACTCATTGGAAAAGACCTTGATGCTGGGAAAGAATGAAGGCAGGAGGAGAAGGGGGTGACAGAAGATGAGATGGTTGGATGGCATCACCTCGTAAGTTTGAGTAGGCTCCTGGAGTTGGAACTGATTCTAAGGAAATAATTGGACTGGTAAACAAAGATGTTACTGTCAAGATTTTTATTCTTTACAACATTGTTGATAATAGTTGCTTTAAAAAACAAAAAGGTTTTATCAAGAAAAAAAGCGTGGAGCAATTAGCAGTGATGTGTTGGAGTTGGTGATAGACAGGGAAGCCTGGCATGCTACAGTCCGTGGGGTTGCAAAGAGTCAGACATGACTGAACAACTAAACTGAACTGACTGACTGAGGGGCTCCCTCTGAGGTGGCCCCCAAGCCCTCCCACCTAGGTCCCTCCCCAGAGTCCACTCTGATGTGTCCTCCTCAGGCCATACCCTGGCAACTGAAGAACAAGCCCCCCATTCACTGGGGCCCTAACCCCTCCTGGGGCTTCTCCTTCTCACCTTCTTTTGGGAGTGCAGGGTGCTGAACACATCTCAGGGGCTCCCGTGTCTTAGCTGTAGGCTCTTCCTGCCAATTCTCTCCTCCCATAGCTGATCAGCTCCTGATCTTTTTTTTTTTTTTTAAACATTTATTTATTTGGCTGCATTGGGTCTTGGTTGTGGCACATGGGATTTTCATTGCGTCATGTGGGTCCTTCGTCGTGGCACATGGGCTCCAGAGCGTGCGGGCTCAGTAACTGCAGTGTACAGGCTTAGTTACTCCATGGCATGTGGGATCTTAGTTCCCTGACTAGGGATCGAACCTGCATCCCCTGAATTGCAAGGCAGATTATTAACCAGTGGGCCACCAGGGAAGTCCCAGTTCCTGACCTTTTGAATGAAGCCCCCTCTTCAGCTATCAGGAGCTCATTCTTTTGCTTGCTTTCAGGGTTGACAGTTAATGCCTCCTCTTCTCCAGGCTGTATATTTTAATCTTCCCAACCAAGCTTTTTTCAAAATGTAAAACACTCTTTGTCTCAGAGAGCTTGAACTTCTAATGGAAGTGATGACATTCAAGACAAAGGTCTGCTATAGATTTACAAAAAGACTTCTTTAAAACTTCAAATTCTGAGTCCAAGGGTTTGTGTCCAACATCCCTGCCCCAACAGCAGGTTGTATAATAAGCTTTGCCTGCTTGAACAGTGGAGCCATTCAGGGTAGAGCCAAAGTGTAGCTAGATGGGCTGAAAAAGTCTGTAGTTCCGGGGCAGAGTCTCCATCCGCTATAGCTCTCTGCTGGGACTGGTAGGATTGTGGGTGACTTCCATATTTTTTTCATCTGCAGTTTCTGAATTTTCTACAATAAATGTGTGGTCATTGTTGTTTAGTCGCTAAGTCGTGTCTGACTCTTTGCGTCTCCATGAACTACAGCACACCAGGCTTCCCTGTCCTTCACTATATCCCTGAGTTCGCTCAGACTCATGTCTGTTGAGTCGGTGATGCCATCCAACCTTCTCATTCTCTGTTGTCCCCTTCTCTCCTCTTGCCCCCAGTCTTTCCCAGCATCAGGATCCTTTCCAAAAATGTGTATTTCTTTTATGATAGGAAATAAAATGACAAAAATTCTTTTATAAGTGAAGGGACACTTTTATGTATTTAGGTCTTTAATGCCTAAGATTAATTTTGCAGGGTATATTTTGAGTTTGGGGCACCCTGACCACCTCACCTCATCTCAGTGGAAGGACTCTTTGGTGGGGGTGGGGTCACAGGTAGGGATCAGGCTGGAAGCAGTGACAGGAGAAAGAGGCAATGTGGGCATCTCTTTCGCCAACATGGAGCAGAGTGAGGCAGTCCCCAGCCTGGCTTACCTTCAAGGAGGGGCTGCAGCTTCCGCAGCATCTTAAAGGGCAGTGTGTTTCCTTTCAGGACAAGGAGATGGCACTTTGTTGGCATCGTTACAGGCGCTGTGTTACATGGGAACCAATCCTCAGTGTGCCCAGCCCCAGGCGAGCTTTGAGGAGATAAATCACAGCAGGAGTCAGGCCACCCTCACTTTTCTAACAGAAGTTGGAAGTTCAACAGTGCTGCAGTCCATGGGGTTGCAAAGAGTCACACACGACTGAATACCAACCGTACAAAAAGATAAAAAGAAAACCCCCTTTTACGTCTTAACAAAAAGCAACAAGAAGACATTCACATATGAAATGTGCCCAATCATCTTCCACCAGGATTGAGCCCCGCTGTGCCCACTTTCAACCACACCAGGGATTTCCTGATGTTTAAAAAAGTTTAAGGATTTCACGTGCCTGTCTTTTCTGGGACTTTCTGTTCCCATTTTTTTATTCTTCTGAATTCTTAATTTTGTGCAAGTGTTAGCAGAGGAATTGTAAAAGCCAGTATCTCATGCACATGGAGATGGGAGTGAGGCCAGCACAGGATTCTCCTTCCACTGTCCCCTTGATGCCAGGACTTGGAGAAGGACTGGGGGCCCACGACAAGATCCCCTCAGCCCAGTGGGAGTTGGGCTGGCTCTGGTGGGATGTGCAGGTGGCCCTGGGCCGGAAGCCCCATGGGCATTCCTTGTCCAGAAGATGAGGCCTTGGCCACCCCTCACTCCCAAAGTGGACGGAAGTGCCACTGGTTCCAGGCTGTGGTTAGAGATTAGATATACCAGGCTGACCCAGGACTGAAGGCACCATCTGCGGGCCTGTGGCCTACCAGCCTCAGAGCCTTTGGAGGAAAGGAGTTGGGAAAAGGGAGCCTGGGAATGAAGCCCACATTTCTCAGTGTGGGCAGGGCAGGGAGCCAGAGGTGGGGTCTAGTCATATGGAGAGTCATGAAGACCACCTCACCCAGCTCTGCCTTTGTCACTGAGAAGAGTGAGGGCCAGAGACGGGTGGTGTGTCTTGGCTGGGGACCCATGGCCAGGGGCTGGCAGAGTTCAGACCAGAGCCCAGGCCTTTTGTGCCAACCACTCCTCTTCCTGTTTCAATAGGGCTGGAAGGCCCAGCTCTTTCTGGCAGCTTCCTGACCTCTGCCCCCGCCCCCCGGCCCCAGCAGCTGGCCTCAATGAGGAGGGATGACATTAAACTTGTCCCTGCAGGAAGGATCTGAATTGTCACAGACACTTCCTCCCCACCACTTCCCCCAGGGGCTCGTGATTCTCCAGGGTGTCTGGAGCAGGCTGGACTCCCCTCCACCTGCAGATGGGCCCTGGGGCATGAGCTCCAGGAGGGTTGGCGGGGGGGAGGGGGGTTGCTCACTGTTTTATTCACACCTCTAGCCCTTGCTCCGAGAATGTGGCCTGGTCACAGATACTCATTGCGTTGTAAAAAAATGAGTGAAAAGAGATGAATACATGACCTTCATGTTGGGGGTCTTACTCTGGGCAGAACTGTGAAGTCTGCTCTCAGGGGCGCTTCCATCTCCGGAGGCATCTGACCTGCCCTTCTGTCCTAAGGAGTCACCTCTGACCTCTGACCCAGTGACACTGAGGGAGACAGGGAGGAGTCTCAGGTAGCAGGAGTCAGGCGATGGAGGAGTTCCTGGCGTCTTTAGGGAGCAATGTCTGGTGTCCCCTGAGTTTCAGGAAAGGCAGGCCTTGGTGTAAGCACATTTTGTACTGAGGATAAGTGAGTGCAGAGGGTGATCGGTGAGGGGAAAGCCATGCTCAGCCGCGGAAGCTCCCTTCTGGGCTGTGGGAGGGCCAGCAAGCTGGGAGCTGGGCCTGGCACTGACGCCACGGGGATTCTGGGCAGGGGGATGAGCGGGTTTGAGAGAGGACAGTCGAGATGATGCTGCTGGGGCCCTCAGGAGCCTTGAGTTCAGCCTGTGAGGAGGAGGATGGAAGATTGGAGGCTGCTTCTTCCGGCTTGGGGACAGAGGAGCCCCCTGTCCCGATGGGGGCAGGACCGTCCCCCCTCCCATCAGTGGGAGTCTGGACTCACCTGCCATGGCTGTGCGTTCTCATCAGAAGTGGGGGCTGTAGAAACACTGGAGAGGACTGAACGGAGTCGCACATGTCCCCAGGGCCTGCCATGGGACAGTATTAGGGCCCTGAGGCCTCACACCCCTGATTCCCAGCTCTAAGAGGTTGGGGATGCTCCCCCGACCCCCAGAGGGGCAGCTTGCACTCCACCTGCCACCTGGCGAGAGCTCCTGGTGTGATGGGTCCCTCAGGCCACACTCCAAGCCACAAGCCTTCAGGGCTTGGGGCCAGAGGAGGGGCACACTTGCCCCAGGACACACAATCTGTACCCACGCCCACCGCCAGTAAGCACACACTGCTCATTGAACAACCCCCGTCCCAGAAAACACGTCAGACCACACTCGTTAACGCTGCCCCTCCCTTCCCATGCGCTCAGTCCCTTCAGTCCTGTCTGACTCTTTGCAGCCCTCTGGACTGTAGCCCACCAAGCTCCTCTGTCCATGGGATTCTCCAGGCAAGAATACTGGAGTGGTTGCCATTTCCTTCTCCAGGGGATCTTCCCGACCCAGGGACTGAACCCAGATCTCTCACATCTCCTGCATTGGCAGGCAGGTTTTTTACCACTAGCGCCACCTGGGAAGCCCCTTCCTTCCCATACTCCTTCCTTTTCATTCTTTTGTGGCTTTTTCTTGACTTCTTTGAGACTGCCTTGTCTATAGTAAAACATAGGCGGTCACCTCCTGGTCGTGGGCCGGCACTCCTGGGGCTGCCCTGCACTAACTATGGACTGGGGCTGGGGGAGCGGGGGACTCGGTGCTGAGGCAAGTCCTGGAACCAGCTGGCAGGGGTGAGCATACCTGGCAGGCCCTGTGGGCATCCCAGCCGCTGGACACCAGAGTCTGCAGCCGGGGCGCGTGCTCCTCCACAAACTGCTCACACTGAGGGAGGAGACAGACACAGGGCTGGGTGGATGCAGGCCCAGGGCAGGGCCCTCCTGCCTTACCGTCTGGCCTCCCCACTTATCTGGATCCCCTCAGAGCTCCCTGGGCCTGGTGTGGGTCCAGCCCTCGGCCCCTAGTGAGTAATTCTGGCTGTAAGACTGAACAAGCCGCTGGGTGGAAATGGGGATTTCCGTCAGGAAAACCAGGGACCTCGCAGATGGAGACTGAGGGGCAGGATCTTGGCCCCATCCTTCCCTCCCCTCTCCATTTCAGTTCTGGAAGCCACCCTGAAGTTTGTCTGGTCCTAGAGACCTGAGGAGGGGAGCACTGTGTGGAAAGCAGCCTTCTCCAGGAATCAGCAGGCGTGTTACCCACTCTCAGAGAACACCAGGGCTCCGGGACCCCAGGCCCAGGCCTCTCCTGCCAGTGGCTTGGTCCCCACTGAGTCACACCGGGAGGAGCCCTGGGGCAGGGACAGGACTGGGATCTGGAGAGAAGGCCAGGCCTTCTCTTGCTCAGCTGGCCCTGGCATTACTCATCTCCTGGCAGATGAGTCCATGAGGGAGGCCTGCTTGTCTTCCTGAGCCCATGCCCCTGGTCCAGAGACGTCTCCTGACCTTTTGCCCTAAGTTACAACGACATCATTGTTTGGCCTGCGTCCTCTCTGCATCTGAGCACCTTAAGGGCAGAGGTCCAGCCCACTCCGTGTGTCTCTGTCTGAGAAACCTGTCTTGGACCCAACCTTCCACCTCGGGGCAGCCCCTGGGTTCCGAGCCCCACCCCCCAACACGCCTGCCCCTCACCTTTTGCTTGTCCAGCCAGGTGCCCAGGCAGGCCTGGCGCATTGCCTGTGGCATGGCCTGCTCACTGCTGTTCCCTGCCTGGGTGGTCACAAACACACAGAGCTGGCACTCAGAGTCTTGTGGTAGCCATTCTCCAGGCAGGGACCCCAGGGCAGGGAGGGCTAGAGAGAAAAAACAGCCACGTTTCTGTTCTCACTGGTGCAGCGCAGGTGGACCCGAGAAGGGGAGGGTCGTGCAGGGCTGTGGTTGGCAGGGGAGGAGATGGGAGCAGGTGACGGGCAGGGGCTAGGGCGGCAGGCTCACCTGGGCCAGCGCTGTCCTCGCTGGAGCACCGGAGGACAACGCCGCAGACCAGCTGGGGCAGCATGCGGCCTAGCAGTGTGTCCAGGAGGATGACAGAGTAGCGCTCAACCAGACACTGGCAGATGCCGCCCACCAGCAGGGGTACCACGTGGCACACCTGGGCCACAGTCATGGCCAGTACACCCTGGGGTGGGGGACGAGAAAGGACAGGGTGGGACCTTCACCCGAAAGGCCTGCTCAGGGCGCTTTGTAGACCTTTCCTGGAGGCCTTGGAGAATTACTATGCTGTTTGCAGACAGACACTGAACATCAGGGGGACTTGTCCAGAGTCACTGAGCTGGTGCGAGAACCAGGCCACAGACCCCCACTCTGACTTTAAAGACTCTGGAATTGTTGAAATTCCCTTTCCCAGAGAGGTGGACATTGCTCAGGCCACATGGCAGCCTGGGGCAGAGGCAGAACCAATCCGAGTCTTCTCCCTCCTGACCTTGTGGTGCCATGCTTCCCCCACAGGTGGACAAGCTCCTGTCTGTGGCTCCCAGAGTCAAGAAGTCCCTGGTTTCAGGAGCCTCATGGGGAAGTAAGGAGTTCCCCCACCCCACCCCACCTTTGATTGCAAACACAACCTCCCTGCTGAAGAGCAAGGAGAGAGGATGCAAGCACGCTTATTCCTCCACTCCTTTAGTCATTCAGCCAATTTATGTAAAGAACTTTCATACGTGAAATAAGCTACAAGGATCTACTGCACATCTCAGGGACTATAGCCAATATTTTATAATAACTATAAGTGGATATATATAAACCTTTGAAAGGTGTGAATCACTATATTGTACATTTGTGAGTTATATAATATTGTACATCAACTATGTTTGTGTGTGTGTCCCCAGTTACTTCAGTCATATTCGACTCTCTGAGACCCTATGGGCTGTAGCCTGCCAGATTCTTCTATCCATGGGATTTCTCAGGCAGGAATACTGGAGTGGGTTGTCATTTCCTCCTCTAGGGGATCTTCTCGACCCAGGGATCGCACCTGCATCTCCTGCGTCTCTTGCATTGCAGGCAGATTTTTACCTGCTGAGCCATCAGGAAGACTTGTACATCAACTATACTTCAATTTTTAAAAAAGGACCGGTATGTGGCAGGCTGGCCTGGGCCCTGTTCCTGCCTGAAGCCCCCGCTGTCCCTCAGCATCAGGATGGCCAAGGAAAGAGCAGAACAGGGGGACATATATATTTTGGGGATGTGACACCTTCCAAATGACACATCTCACTACAAGGACCCATTTTGCTTGCATCAGATCCCACACTCATCCTCTCCTCCCGCCATGATGAGGGACCTCAGCTCTGTCAAAGGCTAGCCATCTCCTGTGCACAGGGTCCACCCTTCATCCCCCTCTGTTCTGCTTCATTGCTTCTCCCTCTTGCCCTTCCCTTTGAACATGCTAAAAATACTTCTGTCATTAAAAACCCTCACCCATCTTGGGGCTTCCCTGGGGGTCCTATGGCTAAGACTCTGCTTTCCCACTGCAGGGGCTGCGGGTTCAATCCCTGGTCAGGGAACTAAGATCCCACAGGCCAAAAAGTAAAAAAAAAAAAAAAAAATCCCAAAGTCTCACCCATCTTCTTTTCCCTTCCCAGAAAAACTTCCAAAAGAGTTGTCTATACTGAATGCTGTAGTTCTGTCTCTGGAACGCCTCCTAAACAGCTTTTAAGGTCACCAGCAACCCCTGGTCATGGCTTGTTGACCCCTCAGCAGATTTCACCCCAGGGACCACGCCCTCCATGCTGAAGTGCTTTCTTCTCTCAGGCTCCACATCCTCACGCTGTGGTGTCCCCACCTCCCTGGCTGTCCCTCCTCAGGCTCTTTTGCTGGCTTTTTCCTCTTCCTCCACCTGGTCCACTCCACATCCCTGGATTTAAATCTTGGATTTAAATCTTGTCTGTAGCCACGACTGACGTCTCTGGACTTGGCCAGCGATCTGGCAGGCTGCCTGCTTGTCGTCTCCTCCCATATGTTGTACAGGCGACTCGAACTTATCACGGCCAGGAGAGAAGTCCTAATTTTTCTGCCCAGACCTGTTTCTTCTCAAATCCACCCATTTCAGCGGGGGGTGGGGGGTATCCCAAAGAGCCTGTCACTCAAGCCGAAGTCCAGAGAGTCATGACTGACTCCCCACTTGTCTTCACGCCCCTGGTCCCCTCCATCACCGATCCTGTAGAGCCCACCTCACAGACAGACCCCAGTCCCCCTGCAAGTTCCAGGCCCACCGTGTTTCCTGCCGTGGTCTCCTAAGGACTTGCCTTGCCCTCTTTCTTCTCTCCCTTCTGCCTGATACCATCTTCAAACACCAGGAGAGAGATCTTGCTAAAGTGTAAATCCAGTCATGGCTCCTCCTGCCTGAAACCCTTCCACAGCTGTGTACTGCCTTCGGAAGAAAGCCCAGGGCTTTCCTAGTGGCTGAGTGGTAAAGAATCCATCTGCCAGTGCAGGAGCCATGGGTTTGCTGCCTTCCCTAAGAAGATCCCACATGCCTCGGAGCAACTAAGCCCATGTGCCACAACTATTGAGCCCGTGCTCCGCAACAAGAGAAGCTGCCAAAGTGAGAAGCCTGAGCACTGCAGCTGGAGAAAAGCCCATGCAGCCACAAAGACCCAGTGTAGCCAAAAACAAACAAATAAAATTGTAAAAAAGAAGAAGCGGAACAAAGCCCAGGGTCCCTTCACTTGGCCTACCCTCTGCTCCCTTCTCAACCTCTCCCCGCAGGCTGCGCGCTGCAGCCCAAGCTCATTCTGCTTAAGACCCTTTGCCCATCGGTCCTTGTTGTTCCCCAGGTCCCAACTTAACCATCACCTCCTCGGGGACGCTTCCTGACCAACCATCCCACCCCCCATTCTCCTATCACTATTCCTTCCCTCATCTGTCTTAATTCTCTGCTCTGTACTCATCACTACCTGAAAAAAATCTCTCCCGCCACAACGCAGACTCAGGCGGGTGAACACGCCGTCAGTGAGCAGGTGGCCATACTGGCCCCATCTGGAAAGGCCAACAGGGCTGGTCTCTCCTCACTTGGGCCCCCTTTCAGGGCAGAGCTGTTGGGTGATGGTCACTACAAAGTTTGGAAGGCTCCATGTTCAGGGTGGGCAAGGATGGGGTGTCCATCTAATGCTTCTTTTGTAAAATGAAAGCACCTTTTCTTGCTTTCTTCCTTCCCTTCTTTTCCTCTCTCTTTCTCTCCCTTTCTTTCTCTCTTTTTTCTTCTTTTTTCTTGCTTTCTCTCTCCCTCTTGCTTTCTCTCTCCCTCTTTCTTTCTCTCTCTCTTTCTTTCTTTCTTTCCCAGCATTTGGTATAGATTTTACTGGAACAATGTTTCACTTTGTTTCTGATACATACATATCCCAACCCTCAGGCTGAATAGAAAACTTGAAAGCACCATTTCCACAAAGACAGCTGAGATTCTTTTCTGTATTTTGACACTTGGCATAGTGCCTGGAGGGCTTCCCTGGTGGCACAGAGGTAAAGAATCTGCCTGTCAATGCAGGAGACCTAAGAGACGCAGATTCAATCCCTAGGTCAGGAAGATCCCCTGGAGGAGGGAATGGCAACCCACTCCAGTATTCTTGCCTAGAGAATTCCATAGACAGAAGAGCCTGGTGGGCTACAGTGTGGAGTCGCAAAGAGTCGGACATGGCTGTGTGACTGAGAACACACGCATAGTGCCTGGCACTTGGTGAAGGCTTCACAATTGTTGAAGAAACTCTAGTCCTGGCACTTCGAGGCCCAGCCCGAGTGCAGGGTGCCTTGGGTGGGAACACTGCACAAATGGCATCCCTCCTAACTTCTGAGGAGGGATGGGGGAAGTGGAGCAGTGGGGAGCCCTGTGGCCTGGACGACTCACCTTGGGAATCACAGCTTGGATCCGTTTAATCAGAGTCCGGCAGAGCCAGCAGAAGGGGAGGGGGATGGGGAACCGCTGCTCGGATAGGTCCTGGCGGAAGAATCAAGCCGGAGGCAGGCTGGACAGCAGGCTCGCCCAGGCTCTGCTCACCAGCCTCACCTCCATCTCCTCCCCTCCTGCTCCCGCCTTAGGCCCTATCTGTAGTTGCTGGTGCCCTTCCTGTCTCTGCCCCTCCCAGGTCAGGTGCTCCCGGCCCCCAGGGCCTCAGCTGTGGCCCTGGTGCTCTGGATCCCCACCTCACCTGTGTCTGAGGCCCAGGCTTGGCCTGGGGGACCCCTGGCAGCAGGGGGAGGACCAGCATGTCCTGCAGACGGCCCCATGGCTCTGGCCCCTGCCCCGGCTCTGGTTGCCTGGGCTTGCATAGGCCCACGTGCTGACAGATGAACTTCGGGTTCTAGGGCACAACACAGGGTGAGGGGGTGATTAGGGTGGGGGAGGGAACCCCACTCCTGCTCAGTCTGGCTCAAGGATTCTGAAACCAGGTCGCTGTCTTTGGCCTGGAATGAGGGGAGCAGGCTGGTTTGGGGTTGTGGTTTAAGATTCTGTGGAGGGGATGGGGGAGACCAAAGGCAGAGAGGGAGGTCATGTGGGGGCTTTGGGGCACTAGTCTGAGGATGTGTGTGAATGAGTGTGAGCATGGATGTTTGTGAGAATGAATGAGTATAAGTACATGAGACTGTGTCTTTTGTGTGAGTGTGAAGATGATGTGGTTTTGTTTGTTTTTTTTCCCCTCTGGAGGAGAAATTCACATTTTATTAGGCAAATTGTTATTCCTTATGCATTTTCTGTAATAAGCCTTTAGACCCACATATTAAACCACATGGGCGCTGCCTTTCCTTAATCAAGAATGTGAATTGTGGATTCAAAGGACAGAGGTCAAAATCAAAGCTTGACCATTTATTATCTGTGTATCTTTGGGTATTTATGTGTTCAGTCATATCCATGGGACTGACTGTACCCCTCGAGGCTCCTCTGTCCATGGAATTTTCCAGGCAAGAATACTAGAGTTTGTTGCCATTAACTACTCCAGGGGATCTTCCTGACCCAGGGATCGAACCTGTGTCTCTTGCATCTCCCATGCTGGCAGGAAGATTCTTTACCACTGGAGCCACCAAGGCTTCCCTGGTGGCTCCAGTGGTAAAGAATTCACCTGCAATGCAGGAGATTGGGGTTTGATCCCTGGGTCAAGAAGTTCCCGTGGAGAAGGGAATGGCAACTCACTCTAGTATTCTTGCCTAGAAAATTCCGTGGACAGAGGAGCCTGGTCTGCAGGGTTGCAAAGAGTCGGACACAACTGGGTGACTAAGGACACACATTCTTGGGTGTTAACTTCTCTGAAGCAGTTGTTGGAAGTTTCCTTTAATTACAATATTTTAAGGACTTAAAGCTTAGAGCCTACTCAGAGTTAGCACCCAGTAAAATTTGTTATTCTTGTGGGATGGTGTGAGTTTTACCTGAGATTGTGTGTCTGTAGTATGGATTTGTGACCCAGTGTATGTTTGTATGCAGAGGGTGAGGGTGTGTGTAGGTGTTTGTAAGTGGGCAGGCCCACTCTGTATAGCTTACTGGGTGGGGCTGTGATCTGGGCACCAGCTGAGGGGCATTGAGTTTCCTGGACTGGGTGTGGGTAGGATGCGCGTGCGTGTGTGTCTGTGTGTGTGTGCTGGAGTACCACATGTGGGGGTAACTCTGGGAAAGGGCAGGCATGGAGGCTGTGAGGGAGGCAGCCTGGAGGCGAGGTGGGCAGGCCTCACCATCTGGCTCTGGAAGTGGTCAATGATCAGAGGGAAGTAGGTGTCCAGCAGGTGACGACACTGGGGCACCAGGAGTTTCAGCGGAAGGACGTTGCACTCCTGCTCCAGGAATCTGCGCACTGAGTCCTGGGAGGCAGGCCAGAGAGAGGACCGTTAGCCTGGCCTCTCTGATGTCTGCCCCATCTGAGCCCCTGGAATGGGGCCACTGCCCAGCTGACTGGTCGCCTTCTCCCAGGGCCCTGGAGTTGGGAGGGTGCTAAAGGAGCTGTGTGGCTGGGCACAGGCAGGGTAGCTCCCCTTAGGAAAGACTGTGATGCTGAGATCACTCCCAGAGCCCTCTCCTGACCAGGAGACCCCTGGTAAACCCAGGCATCACCTCCAACCTGGAGATGCTCCTTTAAGAGGCTCACCTCTTCTTCCATCTCTTACCCTCCAAGCTTCAATTCAGGGCCTGGGCCTCATTACCTGGAAAATGGCCTCCTTGGCCATCTTGGTGAGGATGCGGGAGATGTCCTCACATTCCTGGCACAGGTCATCCTGAGGAGAGGGCCCCAAGGTGGAGCATGTGATGGGGGGCATGCTCCCAGCTCAGGTGGCTAAGGCTGACAGGGCTCTCCAGGGCACAAGCAAGTGTCCATGATCCCATGACATCCCATTCATCCCATTCCATCCCACCCCACCCTGTCCATCCTATCCCATCCCATTCATCCCATCCCACTCATCCTACCCCATCCATCCCATTCCATCCCATCTCACCCCATCCCATCCAATCTCATTTATCCAATCCATCTCATCCCATCCCATCCTATCTCACCCCATCCATCCCGTCCCATTCATCCCACCCCACCCTATCCATCATATTCTATCCTGTTCCACTCCATCCCATCCTATCCCCTACGGGGGCTCCAATCCATCAGGCACATCCAGAGTCTACCCAGGACCCTTTACCCCGAGCCCTTTTGTCTCCCTACGTCCTTGGGTAGTACTCACGGCTTCCACATGTCCCCAGACTTCCTGCAGGCAGTGCCCTAGGGCTCTGCACTGCAATGCTTGCTCCAGACTTTGGCACCAGAACTCAGGGCCCTCGGCACAGGCCAGGGAGTAGGTGGTCCCAGCAGCTGCTGTTTGAAGCCAGAGAAACCCTGGGATCCATGCCACACCTGGTGCACTGGCCTCCCCCAAACTCCACACCCAATTTTACTGGGATGCATGGCTCTTAAACCTGCTCGAGTCAGACAGCTCTGGCTTCTACTTGCTCTGTGTGTGTGTGCTAAGACTCTTCAGTCATGTCCGACTCTTTGAGACCCTTCGAACTATAACCCCCCAGGCTTCTCTGTCCCTGGGATTATCCAGGCATGAATACTAGAGTGGGTTGCCATGCCCTTCCCCAGGGGATCTTTCTGACCCAGGGATTGAACCCACGTCTCTTGCATCTCCTACATTGGCAGGCAGGTTCTTTACTACAACATCGCCTGGGAAGCCCTCTACCTGCTCTAGTGCCCAGCAGCTGTGTGACCTCGGACAAGCTCTGGAATCTCTGAGTCAAGGCTCCCTCATCTTTAAAATGAAGATAATGTCCCGACTAAGGATAATGCTTGCAACAGAGCCAGGGCTCAGTGAATGGTGGAGAAGTTTGCAATGCCCCCTCCACACCTAGCTCCGGGGAGTGGGGAGGCAAGGGGAGACTGGGGGGACTCACCAGTGCCTGGACCACAGAGTGTGGGCAGCAGCAGCAGCCATGGCAGCAGGTGTGACTTGGCCATGACACCTCCACAGCCTGGACACCCTGCTTGGGGCGGGGGCCCTTATAGCTGGGGGCTGGGGTGTGGGGGCAGGGCTCTGTGGGAGCAGCGGTGACCTCAGTGTTTGCTTTTGCCCTAGAGAGCCCTTCAGATGCTTTGATCCCCACCTCTTCCCAGCAGTGACACTCCTGCCTGCCCCCATGATCGCCCCCACCCTGCCGTATCCTGCCCGATGAACTTCCCTGCTCCCATTGCTGCCCTCACACCCCCAACACACACATTCTTCCTCTCAGGGGCCTGGACTCCCTCCAGCCTGGGGGCTCTTGATCCTTCACATCCAATCCCATCTCCCTGGGTTATGGAAGGGAAACTGAGACAGGACCAGAGTAGCCTGGGTGACTCCCCTCCCTTCTCTACCCGGGGCCTCTCTGGCCTCCTCTCCTCTTGAGCAATGACTCTTAAGAGCTTCCTGCCTGGCTCTTGACCGGGGGCAAGCCCTGGAGGGGCGAGCCTGGAGATGGCCACCTACCCTCACCCTCTCCTTATTCTTTCCTCCAGAAAACTCCTCTGCTTCTCTGAGAACATGGCTGGCGTCAGTCACAGAGCGTTTACATGAAGCAAAGAGAAGGAAAAAAAAACCAAAGTGTCCCAAGTATCTGAGACAAGGGGGCACAGCTTGGCAGTTTAGGGGGAAGAAGCTCCTTTGCAGTTGCCTGGTCAGGCCCCCCTGGGCAGCGCACAGCCCAGAATAAGCTGACCACCCACGAGGGGCAGACACGAGGGTTGAGAGCAGGGAGTCAGGCGCTGGCTCGTGGCCACCACCGCGGCCACCAGTGTGGCTGAGTCCTGGGGTGCCCTCTCCAGCAGAGGATCACGGGTGCTACTCCTGGCTCAGGCAAGTGGGAATCAGTACCACTGGACTCAGGATAGCCGAATGACTCTCAAGGTCACACAGGGGTTCGGGCAGGTTCTGTTGGCCTCAAGCCCTCATCAGTATGACAAATGGTTGCTATCACGGGAGTCGACCAAGAGTGTGTGTAAATGTGTGACAAAGATGGGTCCCCATGATTTCCATTCCTCCCAAGAAGGTGGGACTGGTGAGTGTTTAACAGAGGAGCTTCCCTGGGCACACTCAGGACTGTCCTAGCCGCAGAGGGTGGGGGCTGCCTCCAGGGGTATTGATCAGGGTGTCTAACTGTTCTTGCTCACAGCACACCACAGGGCAGGCTTGTTCAGTGGGGAGGCTCAGGGTCATGCAGTCACTCTGGGGCCCAGGCCCATCCTTCCCCTTGTTCTGCTGTTCCCTAGGGCTTGGGGTCCTCCCCTGGTTCCTCTGTATCTGGACAGCAGAAGGTTGGGGGGGGGGGGCGGTTGAGGATCAGGCCCAAGGGCCTTCATTTCTGCTCCCAGTTCATGGGCCAGGACTCCATCACACTGTCCTACTTAATGGCGGGAAGGCTGGGAGACCCCAGGCTCCCGGACACCCAGGGGAATAGGACCTGGGATTGGACACATGGCATTGCCTCAGATACACCATGCTGAACAGAACACTATGTGTTCTGGGGGTGGTTTCTGGATAGTGTGTCCGTGGCTTCCATCAAATCCTCCAAGAGCTGCTCTCGCCTTCTGAGATAGCCCATGCTCTATCTGTGGAGTATGTTTCTCTCTAAATAAATCCACTTCTTACCTTTCACTTTGTCTCTTACTGAATTCTGTCTGCAATGAGATATCAAGAATCTGAGTTTCATTAAGTCCTGAAACTAGGCACTGTGGATGCTTGCTGCTCTGAACTCACATCCTCTTGACATGGTAACTCAAGACGAAGGGGAGTCTCTTCCAGGGTTCATGAATTAATCTCAGGGAAGCCTACGTTTGGCTCTAATTAGGTCACATGTTTCCAAACCAATTGCTATGGCAAGAGGATAAAGTTGGCCTAGGCAGCTTCTGTGGGTGGAGCAGGAGTGGGGGGGGGGGCAGGGAGAATTTCCATTTTACAAGGTGACCAAATGTCTCAGACATTTACCTTGAAGTAAAGATACTGAAACCCCTTCAAGTGTGAGAAGTTAACTCGTATGCTGCCCCTAAGCATGTAGACCCCAGATAAGTTGGACCTGAAGATTAATGATGCTGACTCCCAATTGCTTCACCACAAATTCATCAGAAGAAAGTCCATGAGCTGATCACACCCTTTATATAAACCATTGTATGAATTGTATGTATAGTATGAACCATTACTATAAAACTTATCACCATCTTCTCCAAGTTAAGACACATAGTTTTTGAGGCTGGAGCCCACTGTGTCCCCCTTTGCCTGGCAAAGTAATAAAGCTATTCTCTTCTACTTCAGCACCCCTTCACCCCCAAATCCTCAAAGAGAGGTCCGGGTCACCACACTCTTTAGAGCTGCAACCCAAGAGGATAAAATAAACACACAAAACCAGTCATTGGCTGAGCTGCCCTGGCCCAGGGCAGGGGTGAGATTGTTGGCCTCATGGTCCCTGGATGGGTCTCTGGTTTTTCTCGCTTTGATGTTACCTGAATCTCAATCTCTGATTAAAATTTTACTTCTCAGGGGTGGAAGGAGGGAGGAGCGGGTGAGCAGTTTGGGGTTAGTAGATGCAAACTATTATATACAGAATGGATAAAAAACAAAATCCTACTGTATGGAACAGGGAACTATCTTCAACATCTTGTGATAAACTATAATGGAAAACAATATTAAAAAAATGTACACGTGTATAACTGAGTCACTTTATTGTACAGCAGAAACTAACACAACATTGTAAATTAACTCTCCTTCAATGAAAAATAAATTAAAAAAGAGAAAAGAAACAAAAAAATAAAAGGAAAAGAAAGAAAATAACATTGGACTTCTTCTACAGGGAGAGCCTGCATAGATGTGCTCTACAGCTAGTTGTCCTGACTCGCTAATTTTTTTTTAACTATTTATTTTGTATTGAAGAATAGCCAATTAACAAACAACGTTGTGATAGTTTCAGGTAAACAGCAAAGGGACTCAGCAATACAAATACATGAATCCATCTCCCCTAAACTCCCTTCCCATCTAGGCTGCAAAATGACATTGAGCAGAATTCCTTGCTGGTTATCCGTTTTAAACAGTGGTGTGTACATGACCATCCCAAATTCCCTAACTATCCCTTCCCCCTCTCCTCTTCACCCACCCAAACCCTGAAACCACAAGTTTGTTCTCTAAGTCTGTGAGTCTCTTTCTATTTTGTAAGTTCATTTCTATCATTTCTTTTTAGATTCCACATTATAAGGGATGTCATACAATGTTTCTCCTTCACTGTCTGACTTATTTCACTCATCATGACATTCTCTAGGTCCAACCATGTTGCTGCAAATGGCATTAGTCTATTCTTTTCAATGGCTTAGTAATATTCCATTGTATATATATACCACATCTTCTTTATCCATTCCTCTGTTGATGGACATTTAGGTTGGTTCTATGTCTTGGCTGTTGTAAACAGTGCTGCAATGAACCCTAGGGTCTATGCATCCTTTTGGATCATGTTTTTTTCTAGATATATGCCCAGGAGTGGGATTGCAGGGTCATACAGAAGCTCTATGTTTAGTTTTTTAAGGAACCTTCATACTGTTCTTGATAGTGGCTGTATCAATGTACATTCCCACTAAGATGGGCTCAATAAAGGACAGAAATGGTAGGGACCTAACAGAAGCAGAAGATATTAAGAAGATGTGGTAAGAGTACACAGAAGAACTATACAAAAGAGATCTTCATGACCCAGATAATCACGATGGTGTGATCACTCACCTAGAGCCAGACATCCAGGAATGTGAAGTCAAGTGGGCCTTAGGAAGCATCACTATGAACAAAGCTAGTGGAGGTGATGGAATTTGAGTTGAGCTATTTCAAATTCTAAAAGATGATCTGTGAAAGTGCTGCACTCAGTATGGCAGCAAATTTGCAAAACTCAGCAGTGGCCACAGGACTGGAAAAGGTCAGTTTTCATTTCAATCCCAAAGAAAGGCAATGCCAAAGAATGCTCAGACTACCACACAATTGCACTCATCTCACACACTAGTAAAGTGATGCTTAAAATTCTCCAAGCCAGGCTTCAGCAATACGTGAACCGTGAACTTCCAGATGGTCAAGCTGGTTTTAGAAAAGTCAGAGGAATCAGAGATCGAATTGCCAGCATCCGCTGGATCATCAAAAAAGCAAGAGAGTTCCAGAAAAACATCTATTTCTGCTTTATTGACTATGCCAAAGCCTTTGACTGTGTGGATCACAATAAACTGTGGAAAATTCTGAAAGAGATGGAAATACCAGACCACCTGACCTGCCTCTTGAGAAACCTATATGCAGGTCAGGAAGCAACAGTTAGAATTGGACATGGAACAATAGACTGTTTCAAAATAGTAAAAGGAGTACGTCGAGGCTGTGTATTGTCACCCTGCTTATTTCACTTATATGCAGACTACATCATGAGAAACGCTGGGCTGGAGGAACCACAAGCTGGAATCAAGTTTGCCAGGAGAAATATCAATAACCTCAGACATGCAGATGACACCACCCTTACGGCAGAAAGTGAAGTGGAACTAAAAAGCCTCTTGATGAAAATGAAAGAGGAGAGTGAAAAAGTTGGCTTAAAGCTCAACATTCAGAAAACTAAGATCATGGCATCTGGTCCCATCACTTCATGGGAAATAGATGGGGAAACAGTGGGAAAAGTGTCAGACTTTATTTTTCTGGGCTCCAAAATCATTGCAGATGGTGATTGCCGCCATGAAATTAAAAGACGCTTACTCCTTGGAAGGAAAGTTATGACCAATCTAGACAGCATATTAAAAAGCAGCGACATTACTTTGCCAACAAAGTTCCGTCTAGTCAAGGCTATGGTTTTTCCAGTGGTCATGTATGGATGTGAGAGTTGGACTATAAAGAAAGCTGAGCACTGAAAAATTGATGCTTTTGAACTGTGGTGTTGGAGAAGACTCTTGAGAGTCCCTTGGACTGCAAGGAGATCCAACCAGTC